GCAAATACGATAATGAGCAAGTTGAGACTGAAGTTCTTGGAAAGAGGAGGAAAACCAAATGGTATGCCCACCCAAGTTGCTAGAGGATACACACCGTGGAATAGCAAACAGATTACAGTGCTCGTCAAAACCAGGACGAGCAGTACGAGTGTCAAACGAAAAACGCCATTCAACAGCCTTCTCAACTTGGTCTAACACGGCCGGGACAGCACATCCAACTGGGCAGATTATGGGCACCAATCGGGTTTGTAACCCTGGGAGTACTTCCCTGACACTGTCCTGGGCAACCCCCTATTTGTCCCCGTTCCTAGAATGCCATGGGCACTCTGCCACTAGGGGCTTGTCGTCCCCACAGCAGAGGCAACGGCCATTTTTCCGGCAGTAGTCATACTCCACCCGAGTGCAGTAAAACTTAGTCATCCACTCTGCCGGATTCGGATTCCTGCCACGCTTGCCTAGCACCGTCGTCCCCATTCCCCCAGCAGCGGCCCTGGGCCGACCCTTGTCCCTATGCTTGCCACCCCGACCCCTGCACCCATGGTTCGACTGACCAGCACCGGAGGCCCGGCAAGCTGTGTTCCGCCAAGCGGCAGCAGTAGCAGCCCGAGGCCTGACCTCCAGCACCGGGAGGTCCCCCTCGTCAGTGATGATGGGTGTGGTATCCTGCACAGCGGTAGAAGCATGCAGAAGCATGCGGGTTTGGGTTTGAGAATGAAATTTAGCAAGTTGACGGGCCTCAACACCAAGCGTGTGCTGCACACGTTTTGCATATTCCTGAAAAGGTTTACCATCTGGTCGGTCGCACATTCTCCTGAAAACTCAGCGGAAAGGCTATGGTACGACTATGGTACGTGGCTGCCGTTTCGCTCGCCCGCATCTAATGCTGCCCTGCAGCAAGTTTTTCTAGCGCCGCCAGTTCGCGTGTTTGGATCTGCGGGGCAAAACGAATTAACAGTGCCTCCAAAAGTTGCTCTGAAGTATTTGGCAACTGCGCGTTTGTCCAGTCATCATGCCAGGTTTTCGCGGCGCCTTCAAGAGCATTAGCTAAAAACAGGCAACGTATACATCATGGTTTCCGCCTCGCATGAAATCAAAATATTTCCGGACATCATGGACGAAGGCGCGGATACGTGGCGCAACTTCCCGCGATAAGTCGCTAAGCTTAATATCGACAGAGATACTAAGCCTAGGTACCGGAATATTTATCCTAATCACCTCATCACTGACCCCAGCGGGCAAATCGCGCTCGGTAGCGATGTAAGGAACAACATCGCCGGCGGTGGCGACCCGCGATGTGTTCCACCGCAGGAATCGGAACAGCAGATGAGGGATTATTGATATTTATCAATTGATCGTTGTTATTCAGGGCAATAGGCGGTGGTGGGACAGTTCCATTGGTCATATCGATAGCGGTGGGACAGTTCCATTGGTCATATCGACTTCGCCTAGTCTGCTCCATTCCAACTATCCTGACCCAGATCAGGCAGACCGTGTACCCAGGTAAAGAGAGCTGTCAATTTTTGAATGTCTGTTGCAGCACCGAAAGGGTGCTACGGAGCTCTTGACAGAGCCTTCGGCAAAGGCCATAAGCATGAACCAGGCCACCAACTCACAAGCTTACATGCAACAACTAAAACCAGGCAATACTAGCTACGCAAGCTATGCTAGGACAAACTTTTGAGACGACCAGAGCAGCATGAAGTGGTGTCAAGCCGATGTCCCCAAGCAACTGCTTTGCGTCCATGTCACTAGATTGGCGCAATAGGTTGACAAGGTCGTCCATATGGCACCTTTCCTTGGACAAGGCATCCTCCAATTGGCACGCGGTAAATTGACTTAGATTGTTTGCCCTGGCAAACTTATGTACTCCAAACTCATCCACTGGACGATGCTGGCTGTATTTCTTGCGTGGGCGATCTTGTCGCCGACGGGCGATGTTGTCCAGGGCGTTCCGGTCAAACTCGTAGGCGCCGTCCTCATTACCGTTGTCCATGGACATTGTGTTGGAAGGATACGTTAAGGTTCAGATAAAATGAAGAAATGAAGAAGCGCTCCTTCATAGTACCGTATCGCTATGGCCGATTGGTGACACCGGATTGGTGAAAATTACCAATCCAGTAGCAAAGGATAATCCGGGCTGGGATTGAGCGGCGGCCATCACCAATCCCTGTTTTGGATCCAGGTCGGGTGCCGGACCGCCTAACTCGCAGAAAAGCACACATAAAGCAATATTTCCTGCCAAACTTTACATTATATAGTCATTACATTAATAAATTATTACTTGGTCAGCAAGAGTTGCATCATGGCAGGAAGGCAGCGCACGATGTTTGACTTCGCACCGAAGCTGCCCAAGGATGCGCCAGTGGATGAGCGTCTGGGGGTCCAGCCTACTAGAAACGTTTACATGCGACTGCAGATTGGTTGATGTGGGCCTGGGGCGCCTCGGAGGGCCCACAGTGAACGGGGGGCAGTCCGGTTGGCGGCTTTCACCAATTCGGTGGCAATGGGAAAAAGTGGACGGGGTAACACCAAACCGTATCACCAATTCCGGTGTTGGAAAGATTAACTCTAGAAGCGTTTTTTACTTCACCAATCCAGAAATCACCAATCGGCCATAGCGATACGGTATGGAGACGGTAGAATCTTCAAGCAACTTTTGAACGACCAGGGAGAGTTGCTGATAGGCGAATTTGTATGAAGCTATAGAATTCCTTTATTCTTTCAAGGTAAATGAATGCTGATGTATTCGTCCGTTAGTAGCGTGAAGCTTTGAACACTCTTTGTACGGCAGATTCGGCACAATGTTTTGCCTCATTGCGATGTTGCCTAAAAATTTTGAACAGAAGGGATCACTGCTCATGCTGGTGCAGCAAGACATGTAAGGAGATGGCCTGGTCACAATCCAGCAGTCATATATCGACAATCTCAAGCGATGACAACTTGTTACATGTGTCTGTAATAAAAAAGGGACTTTGCGATGGTGTGGGGAGCTCTTTGAGTGGTGGGACTGTGGAAATCCAGTTTGTTTCGCCCGTAACAAGTTTGTTACGGGCGAAACAACGTCCTACTGAAACGTTTGGATATGCCTATGCAACACATTTCCTCAATTTCATGAACTGCAAGTATTCTCATCCAACATCACCCCAATCTCAGTGTAAACTAGTCTCCAAATGTGCCTGCACAAGACTGTCACCCCTGTCACCCGGCATTCACATTGCCTTAACCTCCTCAAGCTTGTCGGGGTGTGACACGTGGGCATGAACCTTGTGACAATGGGCATTGTCACAAAGAAACTGGTTGCAGTCAGAAATGCATTTTTGCTCATGCCAGGTTACCGACATCGGTTACCGATTACTGGGGACGGTTAACGGATAACGGTTCGCCCGGTAATCCTACCGACCGGTTACCCATCTCGTTAACTGGACCCGTTAGGTCGGAACCGGGCCGGAACCGGCCTGGAGTATGCCATTGGGAGGGCAGGGACCGCCGAAGGAACCGGCGGCTCGGAACCTAAAGCAGCTTTAACGCTAGTAACCCAAAATTCTAGAAAACGTTAGCAAACGGTTTTGCTAAAATAGTTACAGACCGGCGGCTGCCACTTCGCGGACGGCCTCTTCGAGGGCGTCGACTATTGTAGCCAGAGGTCCGGTGACATCATCGACCTCCATCCACGCGCCAGTAGAAATCGGGATCTTGATAGCAAAAGTAGGATCTTGAAAACTTCAGGAATGAGAGAGGTCCCGGGAGGAACCGTCTCGATACCAAACTTGTTACATCTAACCAAACCACAACTGGATGGTGGCGTCGGAAGACACCGATTGGAAGAGTTTCGAACTGTGAACCAGTGAACTTGTCCAGTAACCGCGCCAAGCGAGAAAGGAAAAACTAGACAGAAAAATGTATCAGTTTGGGATCAGATTTAAGAAGAGGTATGCAACACACACTTAAGGCATGTATTTGAGGTTAAACCAGCAAAGGATCTCTCCTGCTGTGTTCAAGCATGACATTGTGAACTACCACCTTGCACCTTCCCACAGGCACAGCATTCACACAAACAACTTTGGCTGCCTCAATTGACCGAGGCCAAAGTCACATCAACGCCTCTCGGGCTAAATTTAACCTCAAAAGGTACTGCGTATCTCATAATCGAGTTCTTAGATGGCGGCGTATGATTACTCGAACTCCCAGGCCTTGGGTGTGTAACGGACCAAACATAATACCGTATCGCTATGGCCGATTGGTGACACCGGATTGGTGAAAATCACCAATCCAGTAGCAAAGGATAATCCGGGCTGGGATTGAGCGGCGGCCATCACCAATCCCTGTACAATTTGGATCCAGGTCGGGTGCCGGACCGCCTAACTCGCAGAAAAGCACACATAAAGCAATATTTCCTGCCAAACTTTACATTATATAGTCATTACATTAATAAATTATTACTTGGTCAGCAAGAGTTTCATCATGGCAGGAAGGCAGCGCACGATGTTTGACTTCGCACCGAAGCTGCCCAAGGATACGCCAGTGGATGAGCGTCTGGGGGTCCAGCCTACTAGAAACGTTTACATGCGACTGCAGATTGGTTGATGTGGGCCTGGGGCGCCTCGGAGGGCCCACAGTGAACGGGGGGCAGTCCGGTTGGCGGCTTTCACCAATTCGGTGGCAATGGGAAAAAGTGGACGGGGTAACACCAAAGCGTATCACCAATTCCGGTGTTGGAAAGATTAATTCTAGAAGCGTTTTTTACTTTCACCAATCCAGAAATCACCAATCGGCCATAGCGATACGGTATTTCACCCGGCTGAAACGCGTTATCGGTAATACACTGCATTCTCTATCGCAAGGTATCTCGCCTGTAGCCAACAAAAATCGTATGAGCACAAACAATTTTGGCTGCCTCCATTGACCGATCTCAAAGTCACATCAACGCCTCACGGCCTAAATTTCATCTCAAAAGGTGCCGCGTATCTCATGAATTCTGAGATGACAGCGTACGATAACTTGAACACCCAGCTTGTGTTACCATTTGCCCGCACGGGCATTCCGACTTGCCACCAGTAGACCGACATATTTCCTTTCATTTCGCTATGAAATTCGCAAGCTGCTCGTTTGTACATTTACTTTAGCCAATGCTCGGGGCCTCGGGAGACTTGCGGTGTGCCGCGATGAAGCTCGCGGCTGTGGGGCGGATTGCTGAGGCCGCTGGCGCTTCGGGGATAAACATCACAGTCCGCACCGAACTTCACCCAGCTTGCGTTACCATTTGCCCGCACGGGCATTCCGACTTGCGGTCTGCCGCACTGTCCATGTGGCATGCACCCGGGATGGATGCGATTCGCGTGGAGCCCACAGGCGGTGCTGACGATTCCGCCGGTGCAAGCTTAGCTCCCACACCAGGGGTGGCCGGCCCTTTTTCCGGCTTCGAGGAAGCCGACACCCGACTTATCATAAATTGACATCATGAATCGCAGACATTCTATGACCCCCACCAGTCATATCCTGCACTTGGCTTTTGCAAACTATGAACTGTTCCATGACCTGAACCATGACTTAATGACAAATTATGACCGGATCCATGACCACATACATGACCGGATCCATGACTGGAAAACCCGTCCATGACCAAGTCGTTCCCCAAGTGGATGTCCCTAACCTGGTTTTCCTTACTTGGGCTCTCTTGTGTTTGCTGCTCCTTGCCTGCAGGCAGGCGCTCCCACCTCCGCCGATGCCATCACCATCACCACAGCTGCTGTAAGTGTTCGGGCAGACAGCATGTTTCCCGTGATCTAGGACAAACAAACTGTCCATGTCTTTGTCATTACTTGCCATAATGTTCTAGCAGTGGGTAGCAGTGAATCACCTTTTTAACCACACAAGGTACACAAGCGCCACGTCATTTATAGATGTGTGGATGCATGCACACAGCTGTAGGATGCGTGAAGCACGACGAGATTGTATTAGCATTTGTGATAGTCCTCATCATGTTAGCGCATACAGGATGCATGGGCTTATTACAGTAAGGTCTCCTTACAACATGACATGTGCACATGTACGTCCACAGCTGTACTGATCAGGAGCCGCTGGCGAGCTACTGTGCCACCTGGAAATCCAACGGCTTCTGTACCCCCATGTACTTTGCCAACAACCAGTCCATAGCTGACTACTGGTGCCGCAAGACGTGTGGAACATGCGTCGGGTCTCCACCCCCTTCACCACCGCCGCCGCCCCGGTCTCCACCGCCTTCACCGCCGCTGCCGCCCCGATCTCCACCGCCTTCGCCGCCGCCGCCTTCACTGCCGCCGCCCCGGCCTCCACTGCCTTCGCCTCCGCCGCCTCCCCGGTCTCCACCACCTTCGCCGCCGCTGCCTTCATCGCCACCACCCCGGTCTCCACCACTTTTGCTGCCGCCGCCTTCACTGCAACCACCCCGGTCTCCACCACCTTCACTGCTGCCGCCTCCCTGGTCTCCACCACCTTCGCCGCCGCTGCCTTCACCGCCACCGCCCCGGTCTCCACCACCTTCGCTGCCGCTGCCTTCACCGCTGCCGCCTCCCCGGCCTCCCCCGCGTTCGCCGCCGCTGCCTTCACCACCGCCACCCCGGTCGCCATCCCCTCCAATATTCCCCCCGCCGCCAGCGAACCCAATGTAGGCACCGACGGACAATTGAATTGGTAGTATAGCTTTGTGGTTGACGCGTCCAGCTCACGCAGTAGGGACCGTCCATGACTGGTGACCTGCTCTGTTTACGTATATGCAATGCCGGCCCCGCCATCAACTCCTGTGCGGATGCATGAGGGACTCTGTTTGTACAGAGAGAAAGAGAATTTATAAGCTTCGAAGCACTACACAAGCAAGGTTTTGTTGCGTTTGCGCTAGCTCTCATCTCTGTGTTCGCTCCTGCAGCATGTGTGGGCTTATCATCATCTGCAGTACGTAGGTGCTATTTAATCTGCAGTTGGGGCTACTTGGGGTTTGAATGCCTACTACTGCTTCGCTTGTTCCACGTACCTGCTGCCTTATTAAATGCGGCTGCTTGTAAACTAAACATACCGTTGCATGTGTGTGACCGCGACACAACAGACACGTGCGTATGAACATTCACAGCTGCACTGATCGGGAGCCATGATGTCAACAACAATATAACCCGCTAACGCTGTACGACACGACCCGGGCCCCGGCTAAAACACGCTCGCTTGTGTATGCCCGTTGTGTTAATGTGGTATAACTATTCATATCGCGGTCGCCAGGGTGCCGCTTTCATCACCGCCGGTGCCAACACCGTCACCACCACTGTCGTAAGTGCTTGGTTAGAGCGCGTGGGCGGTTGGGTGCTGGCCTTACTCCGCAACTTTGCATGCACCCACGCACCCGCACTCAGCGTGCTTTTCGAGCGCTAGGACAAGCAAGCTGTATCGACTTATTTTGGCTACTAGCTATGATATTATGTTAGTGAGTAGCGGCTAATGGCCTGGTGGCCGCTCAACTAAGATACTGCTGCTGGGTGCATGCATGGATAACCCGCTAACCAGTGGGCAAGGGTGCTCGTATAAGTCCATCAGCATTATATTCCCGTGTGCATTGTTCTCCAGCACCTCTAGCAATAATGGTATTGCCGCTGGCTGCCTGCTACCTGACTGTCCTGACGGGTGGGTGTGCCCGAATGCCACCTGCCTTCCTTGCTTCCGTCCGGTGCTTGTTAGTTGTGGTGCGAAATGATAAACAAGACCATCCCCGTCCTTGATGATCCGTGGCTGCCTGCTGTCCCAAGCATCTCAGATGCGTCGACCGAATGTCGTACTGCGCGGAATTGAAAGTCAACGGCGATTGCAAGCCCAAGTCCTTCATTGGCGGCTTGTCCGTCCGTGAGTACTGGTGCCGCCAGACGTGTGGAGTCTGCACCGAGTACGTCTGTTTCTGGATATGCATCTGTTGCGTGCGTATTACACCAGCTGCATATATGCACGCTAACTTACAACCTTGCTGCCACCTTTCCGGCTTCCTCCATCCTGCCTGTTGCCTGCTTGCTGCGTGTTTCCGGACAAGCACTTGTGAGTGTGTGTTATAGGTAGCCATGTGGCCTTCATGTGCGCGCCTGCCTGCTGCTTTGCTTCCATTGAACATTTGGCACGCTTACGTTCGCTGATTCACATCGGCACGGAAGGCTCCGAAACCTGCTCATCCATAGCATGCTTCCATCTTTTCTACGCAAGTAGAATTTTGCGTAGATTTGCGTAGATTATGCTTCGTATAATCCCGCCCCCCCCCCACACGGCCGCGCCTTCTGGCCCGACGCCACCATGATGCTGTCGCGCAACAACAATATAAATCGCTGGCAACGTACATCATCACCCGTGCCCTCGCTGTATCACGCGCGCGGGTGCGTGATATTTTATATCACGGACGGAACGAATCTCCGTCGGTCGCCAGGTCATCGCCTGGAGGACGACGGAGATGCGTTGACCAGGTGTCGTACTGCAATGTCTGGAAAAACATCGGCTATTGCGAGCCCACGCGCATCCTTCAAGGCTTATCTGTCCGTGACTACTGGTGCCGCCCGACGTGTGGAGTCTGCACCGCGTACGTATGTTTCCGGACATGGACTTGTACAAGTTTTTACACGTTCCTCAGGAATGGGGGTCCATGCTTCCTGCTTGGCTGGTGTATGCCGTATACTGGCAACATGATAAGAGGAAGACATGCCTGCTTTTCACGACATACCCGCCGAGGCCAATTCGCGGACCTGCTGCTGTTGCTGCTGCTGCAGGCCTCCCAATGCACCATTTCCACCGCCCCTTCCCGGAGATGCCCTAATCGGCGGTGAGCTAGCTAGCGACCGCTGTGCTGCGCAACTGATTGTATACGCTCGTCACAAGTTATACTCACGCACAGCGGCTCCTATTCCCAAGAGCAGCGTTTTTGCCCGTGAATTTTCCGGTCCGAATGGGGGAAATAGGGTTTTAAACGCGGGAATAAAACTATTCCCAATCTGTAAGGCGCTGGGGAGGCTCCGGCCCCCCCAGAAACACCCCCCCATGCGTTACAATTTAGTTCGTACAAATGCCGCTGTGGGAGCTTTGGGGCTGATTATTTTGCAGCGTTTGGTCCGGTCAGGAAGTCCTGTTCCTCGTTGACTCGCGGGCGTGACCTTCCGAACAGTACCATCCACGGGATTGAAGTGCTATGATGTGATTAACATGTATGTCTCCTGTATGATTCCAGCGGCTTTGGCATTGACAGCCCATTTTTGGCTGGAGGAATGAGCTTGTACGGTCGGAACACAATCTGGTCCTAGTTTTCAGGACCACGGAGAATGTTGCGCAAATAGAAATCGCTGCCCAACATGATGCTCATGCGTGCACGTGCATTTGTGTGGTGGGCGGGTGCATGTCCATCCATGCATCTATCGGTATTTATGTACCCATCAGCACATGCATTCTTGCAGCTACATTCATAGCCGTGCAGCTGCTCAGATAGCCCGCCCCTAGTTCATCATTCAACAAACTCGGCTGGCAGCCGTATACACACATAGATACATACGCACATACACATGCATGTACGAATATGCGCATACAAACATGGTTATTTCTGCACTCTGACTGCTTTACACATAGTGCCAAGGGCGACTTGCGGACGAACCGCCAATATATCAATATAATCAATTTCAATCATATGTCTTCACCACCCATTTAAGCTGGCTCTCCTGAAGACATGAAGACCTGCAGCGACCACCAACTACTCATGCGCCTGTCACCAGCTGAATGAATGGGAATGTTACATACGGTGTATCCCGGACCCGAACGGACCACCTGTGCTGCCCCCGCGAACCACACGGCGGTAATACATGTCTTTTGTCGTTCTTGCCACGTACCTCCCCCACTGTTGTCGTCTGCTGTAATGTTGGCGTCGCCACTGCTGCCGCCGATGCAGGCTGTGCCGACCCTGCCGCCGCCCTGCTGCTGCACAACCAGTACCGTGCACGGCACGGGTCGCCGGCACTGGGCTGGGACAACACCCTCGCGCAGCAAGCAAAGGTAAGTACGCTCGCACAAGTATGTGTGTAGTGTTCGTGGACCAACTCCGAAAAAGGGACCTGAAGGGGTTTCCATTGCGGGGGCCCCGAGGTGGGGATCTCCCGGTCGGTTAGGGGAGGTGGGGTTGGGGAATGGCCCGCGGGGAGAGGCGGACCCCTGTCATGCAAGAGTCCTAGCTGCCACCTGCCGGCACGTGAGCCAGGCGTGTGTTGGGAACAGTATGAAGAGACAACAATGCGTGAGCGTGTTTAGCAGCTAGATTGAGAATCCGTGTTTGTGTCCACGGATTCTTGCTGCAGCAATAGGATGAATACACCTGCAAGATAGACAGATGCATGGGAGGAACCCAGTAATGGGAACTGTATCGTGACAGCATCGCACGCAGCTCCACATCGTACGCACGTATGCCGCTGCGGCCGTTTGTGGATTACAGCACGTGCCGTCCTCGTGTAGCTTACTTTCCGTTCGTCACCTGGCCTCCTTCTGCGTCACGGCCTGCACCAAGTACACTCCCCATGTACTAATGTATAATGTTGACGTCCGAACGCAGAACTGGGCCGCCAACCTGGCGCTAAACAACAGCTGCGGTTTGCATAACGAAGGAGTCACCGGCGAGAATTTGTACACGACGTCGACCTCAAGCCAGACATCTCCCCTCAATTGCAGTAGGGCAGTGGAAGCATGGTACGGCGAAATTTCGCTGTACAAGTTCACGAGCACACCGTACACTGACAATCCATACTCGATTATTGCGCGCTTCACTCAAGTCGTGTGGGCTTCGACGGCGCAAGTCGGCTGTGCTGCAGCGCGAGGCATGAACTGTTATGTGGTTGTTTGCTATTATGCACCACCGGGAAATATTATTGGAGATAGCTACCTTCTGGCGAACGTCTTTCCCCCCGTCTCTGCCCGCCGATCACTTGAAGTGGACATCGCTTCTGTTGAAGACGTGCTGCCCACCGGCAGTGACAGGGATGGACGGGTGGTCATTACGTCCGTCGCTTAATAATAAACACGGAACGCAAACCCACGGTAATACATGCACATGCCCCACCACTACTTCATCCACCTAAATACACGCCAGCCAGGCATTCTGTTCCATCTCCACTGTGTATGTGTACATGCACATTCCACGCAGATTGATAGGTGCCCCGCTTAGAGACACACGTTCTTTGGTGCAGAAGGAGTTTTCCCATTTCCTGGTTGATTTGGTGTTTGCAAAAGTCTCCAGGGATCCAGCGAGTTCATATATTATGCCAGCCACATGCACGACCGTGGAACCCTGGACCGCGGTATGTAGTTCCACAGTTTGCCTTTTGTCTCCGGCATCATATGTATTGTGCTGTGCATGCCATTCATTTCACCTAAGGTCGTCTCTGTATGTATGGCAGTTGTTTGCTTAAATGTAGGCTCCAATAGTTCCCAAATCACCGCTACTCCATAGTGCATGTGCATGTGTACAGCGTGACCCGAGCTAGCGAGCACATGTCGTAGGAGTCAATCGCATGAATCCATACTGGCCAATGGTGCTGGCTGGCCAACCAGAGTGCACATACCTAAGTGCCTCTCCTGTGTCAACGTTGCATGCAAGTGGGGAGTGCGTCCCCTGGCCCCGCACCCATATGCGAGTTCTCCTAATGATGCATGTGTCCGCCGGGGCATGGTGCAGTGTGGACTGCAGGCGCAGAAATGCCGCCCAAGTTTATTTCCCCCTTAGCATGAAGCCCCCTCAACTCAAACACACCAGGCTCGGGCCGGTGTACTCCCATATATTAGTATTACTACTGCTGCCCTAACCAAGTTGTCCAGGGGCCATTCCTTCTTAACTTGCGATGTATTGCAGCTTAGGTATGGGCCGATGTGTCCGGCCTAGGAGTAGTCATGTGTCTGAGCACCATTTGGGAAAAAAGCGGATGTGCAACTACTTGTATGTGCTTAATTCTATATTATACCGCTGTACGGCCATTTATGCCACTAGGTCGATTTATGCCAATAGGTCGATCGTAAACATGCTCCGTATGTACGGGAGCCAGCTGATCCTGTGATGGAGCGGTCCCTTGCCCGGTTTGCGGTTTTTCACATCCATGGCTCATCATCCTCAGTCGTGTCTAGGAGATTACGCAAGGCATTGCAATTTTGCGTGGTTAACCGCGGTAGAGGCAATATCCTTTGCAGGTTAGTTCTGCGTTCGGTCAGGTCAATACTTCTTATCATGCAGCCATGCACTTAGCTGGCACGGTGTGTAGCCAGTGCGTGGTGTGGTGGTCGACAAATGAAATGTCCCAGATGCAGAACCTTGCATGTAAAATATTTGCGTCCCATGCATGACTGTTCTGCACTGCACTGATTACACAGAGACACACAGACATACAGACACATAGACATACATACACAGACACACAGACATACAGACATACAGACTATACTAGGGTTTGGCACTACTGGTAAGGCGCGACCACTGCCCCCGGGAGATCCCGGGATCGATACCCATTAGGGTCAAAAGTCCTTCCGATGGTGGAAGGCATTGCGCCCCTAGTTGATGGACGGTGGTGACCTGGGATAAAGTTAACCTGCGAGCCGACCAGGAATGGAGTTGCGCTGCTGTCGACCCGGCAGGTTCCGTTGGAGTTGACTAGGGTGACTGGATGAGGGTGCCCCGAAATACCGGGGAAGGCAGGGTTTCGCAGGGTAGCTGCCACGGGCGAAGATACACCCCCCTGTTTCACACATATATACAGACATACTTGCGACCTGACCAGGAACTAAGTTGTGGCGCCGTTGATCCGCTAGATTTGGTTGGATGCTGGTCGTGAGTTACTGAACCCAACGAAAATCCATTCTGAAGTCGGATGGGGTGAATGGATTAGGGTGCCCCTCTCGCAGGGGAGAGCAGGGAACTGCCTCGGGAAATGGGGCCGCTAGTGAAGCTATACCACCCTGTAACAACATACATACAGGCACACAGACTCGTCCCTCCCCAAACTCCGTCCTTGATCCCTCTCGTCTAATATTGCTTCTACCTCTTAGCATGAATTGCATTTAACATATCAAGGACTCTGATGTTCTCAGCACCTTGGCTTGTTCTTTGCCCGTTCTCGGAAGTCATGTCGCCTTGTCGCCTTGTCGAATCTCTGCGTCTTCCGCTTCGCAAACCTCTTTCAAAACCCGTCTTCCTAGCATACAATATATCTACTCAGCGTTTCATTGGATTTCATCGCGCTATTCATATGCGCCATACTGGCCCTCTTCACTTTCCATCAGGAAGTGTGAATTCCTGCCACGTACGTGCTCGTCCGTAAACGTTGCTTGCAAGCTGTCATGGCTTATCCACCATGTTTCAGGAGGGCGCGCCAACAACAAGGCAACATCGTCACTCATATAGCATTACGATAACAATAGCCAACTATACCGCTGAAATTGAGATGTTCGTCTTAACAAGCAAGCCTGTTGGCAAGACAACAGCAGCATGCTGCGTCTCGATGCGTATAAATCGTTGCTTATTGCGGCCAGATTTTACATTACTACAGGGAAATGGGCTGCGCGCTCCACTAACTCCATTAAATAGCTCTGCAAGTCCACTGCTTCTAGGCACTCCTTATGCCAGCTTTTGCCCGCTGCGGATTCATGCATTGCACATGATAGCGCTAAACTATAGATACGTCGATTTGAAGGTTAAAAATTCAGCGCAGGAAATGATGTGAAACAAGCTACGATTGTGCTGACAACAAGTTTTTAACTCCGCTGTAAAAAGATTAATTTTGTGCAAGGTGCGTGGAGCTCGACAGCTTAACTGGGAGAGTTACGAAAGAGAGTTACAAGTTACAAGTTACAAGTGCCGCACGAGTGCGGGGGGGTCCGTCAAAGCAGGGAGGCCATGGGCTATATATATATTGAAAGTTGATTACACCGTACGACCGACGGCAGTTACGAAAGAGAGTGTGAGATGGCGGATACTCGCCCCAACTTCTCCAGCCCTTGTGTGAATGGCAGCTCAGAAGTGCGTCACATGTTGGCTCAGACTCTGGAACGATGAATGTCTAACGGAAGTGCCATTGCACCGCAACAGTCGCCAGCACTCATCAGCTACCAGAGCTTTGGAATCATGCGTAAAGGGAAGAGTATGCTGAAAAGTTCGGCAACCGTTCGTATCGAATGTATTTGACGAAGTACTCTAACAGTTTGGAAGAGACAAGTCGAAAAGATAAAAATGGTGTATTTGGTAACAAAGCAAATGTTGCTTTTGGGTGCGTATCCAGATGGTGCCAGCGGCAACTGGAGGAACATTTGTCCTCCAGTCCTCCTATCGGACGCCCTAGTGCCATACATAATTTAGATGCAGTTTTATCGGTACTTCACCTGCATAAAAATATTTTTTTATGAGTGTTTTTTGCATGGCCGTGCTTCCGAAGCGAAGCCGCAAGAAGTGTGATCCGAAGCACATCGGAACATCACTCAAGCACTGCAGGTTTCGGGCAATGTTCCCAATATGGGGATCACATCCAGCATTATCGCTTTTCTCTATTTTTTGCATCTATATTTCCCACAGGTTCTACTAGTCCATCCTGTACCCATGTATTGGATAGCTTGCGCCACTAAACTTGTCTTGCATGGCCAAAACAAAATGCCAGCAAGATAAGGACTAAATTTTCTGAATTGCAGCCTAACTGGGCCCCCAAGCGGATGGCGTCTGCGGCCCGACAGAACAGAACGGCGCTGTTCGCCTCATTGCAAAAGATCGTTCAAGCAGGTTCAAGCATAAGGACGTTCTACAGCGCTACGACAACGCCTGGGGATTATGATGACGCGCGCTGAGATTGACACCAAGCTCCGCGCAATGTCCGTTTAGAAGGTCCTTCGGCGGGTGCTGGATGTGGACGACAGCCCAATTGAGCAAATGAAACAACCTGGACGGAAAAACGCAGCACCACTACTGCGGATATTATAAATCCGCACACACCACCACCACCTCCCCCGCCGATACCAGCTACCGGTACTACACATGACTGACTTACGCACCATGTGCCAGAACAGAAGCTTGCCCAGGTGCCGCAAATCATCGGCGATACTCGCATCTCAGCTCGCCCGGGAGTCCAAACCGCACATCTTATCAACGCCAAACGGGTCACTTGTTCTGTACACTGGCGCCTGGGATGGCGCCCGGAAGTGTCGGAGTGGCGGCATGGGGGATGACGAGCACCGGTGGTGGCAGCAGCGGCAGTGGCATGTGGGCCTCCATGTCCCCAAGAAGATGTCAAAGCTACATCTTTCCACTGAAATTGTTTACGCTTCCATTTTCGTCGTAAGACTCTGATTATTTCGTGTGAGACATTTTGCACATGCTTAAGCATAAGTAACGCGTTCAGCGAAGGTCGCCTTGCGGTTGCCACCCAACTGCCAACACCCTTCCTAGGTCTTGCCAATAGCAATTATCTTAGGGACAATCCTACAACACAGTCTGGATGAACAGTAGACTAGCTATTTACTGATAGTTTTCTAAGCGAAGCTTCTAGAAAACTAAGGTTTTCTGTTAAGTCGGAGTGCAACTGTACGATGCACGGACTTGCGTGGTTATGTGTCGCTGCGAATGACTGTGCTGGTTACTTCGGGTTTGCGTAGCTACGCTTAGGGTGCTGTCCTGAAGCGGTTGGTCTGCAGGCCTAGTTGTCGCTTCGGGGTAGTGCGTGTTGGAAATGGTCGACACTCATATACCAGGGGAATGGTAACCACTGAAATAGGACCCGGCTGGGGTCCGGCGCTTTGTTGGTTTTAACAGTGCGCCCTACCCTATCACAAAGGCTGCTTTTATTGCTTGCAGGTACTGTCTTTGTAACGAAGACTTTTCACGAAAACTAGTTTTTTCCAGCAGTACTTCCAGCTCGTAGGATAACTAGGAATCCTGAGCCTTCCCTTTAGTCGCGGTTTTGACCGTCTATTTGCCTTTAGTTGTCTTATCTGGGTGATTGTCTAATTTGTATATTAGTCTCAGTGCACGGCCAGCTGTCCCGCTGGCTCTACTCTTCGTGAGTCTGGAGCCCACTGTAACAACCACATACACACATACACACACGAACACCGACTGTTTACCTGAGCCGGTCGATATCACTGCACTATTAAGACGATACCATTAGCAACGGAGAGAGCAGTGCGCGCTGTTTGGGGTGACAGAACAAGCGGTATGGGGGCCTGTAGGACCATACGGTAAAACAATTACGCTGACTTCACGCCACTAATACGCCGCCCGAAAAATCGACCACCTCGCCGGCGTATATGGGCGTAGTTGTGCTTTGCGTATTATTCTGTAATAGTCGCAACCCTGATATATATTTTCCAAAACTGACTGTTTTAACTAATCGCCGCAGCTCCCTAATCCTTTTATCCATTTAAATTATACTGTACTATTCCCAGTTGGCAGGCTTATGTTCTCTTGCCAAGTGTGTCCTTTGTTGTACATCATCCATCGCCCAGTATTAAAAAGTGCGAGGCGAAGTGGATCCTGGTCATCGCCCTGAATCCATTGACCTGACGGCCGGGCGAGGCTTGCAACGTCATCATCGACAACATCGCCACCTCTATGGCAACCTCTGTAACAAAGTGTACTAATATCTATGTAGACGGTTGCAGGTGGACAACGAAATATTTGTCCTGCCTGCCTGGAGCGGATTCCCGCAGTAGGAGCATATTGAGATATAGGCGAAGAGATCTCTGTAGGTGTAGCCAAATTCAACCGTTACAGGTATCGCAGAACAAATTCTCAAGAAAACATCCGGCAACGGCTTTGCAAGGATATCCACTGTAGTACGCTACATTTCCCTTAGAATGTTTCAACGATTATTTTTTTACAATAACTGTAAATTTCGTTGACGATCCGACACAACTTTCGTACATGTCACGTACTATCGTGACATGTCACGAAGACGGCAGTTGTTGGTAGCGAACCTAACGGGGCGGGGCCCCGGGCCCCCTCGTCAGTATCCTAGTACGCTAGGTCCGTAGTAGGGAATCTCCGGCAGGTAGGCCGAGATATAAGCTACCCGGGCGGGGTGCCATGGCCAGGTACTAAAAATCTCGACGACTTGATGTTCGGCGCTCAAGACTAAGCTGCCGCCGTCTTAGTTGTTTAGCACTTAGCACCTTTAAAACACAATTTGAGCCTAACATTTTATTGCACAAGTGTTGGGCATCATACACTCAAAGAGCTTCAGCTGTGTTCAGCTGTACAGTTATGTCGCTGCTCGTTCTGCTGCTGATCGGCGCGGCCCTTGCGGTATCCGTTAGCAGCAGCCCTGTAATAACCAAGGTGCGCATTATATATTTTTATATAGACAGGGAGGACCATGCATATACAGAATATGATTTGAGGAGAAAACGTTTCGTCATAAAATTTCTTTTCTGAGGCGCCGAAGGCCTTGCAATTGCTTACGCGATGACCCTCCGCCGCATACCTACAGGCTGCTGATGTCGCTGATAGTGGCCATCGCGCTGAGGGACTTCGTCAGCTGAGCACTCACATGCTTGCGGGCTCTACACGTCGCTTGCGGGCCACAACTCCGCCTCTGCAGGCGCCTCAACCGCGACTTTCATTCGGGCCACCCAAGTCACCTGCACCTGGGCCTCCTTCTCCCAAGCCACCATCACCTAGGGCATTTCCAAGACCAGAAATAGCAGCTCCCCCGCCACCGCCACCACGACCATCACTACCGTCACCACGACCGCCACCACTGCAGCCATCGCCACGACCGCCTTCGCCACCCTCGGTGTCTCCATCAACCCCCTCAATGTAGGCACAGACGCACAGACGCACCATCGAGTCCCATTTAGCTGTATGGGGGCATGTGCCCTCTAGCCCAGATACCTGGAACCGTCGTACATGATTGCAATGCTAGCGCCTTCACCGTTTTCTGTGTGTATCCATGCCTGCATGCGAAGTGTGCATATGTGGGGGGCTTGAAGCATGACAAGCAAAGATGTTGTTGTGTTTGCGCTAGCTTTCATGTCGTTAGCACCGGCAGTGTGTGTGGGCTTATCACCATTACTTCTGCAGTCGGGGCTACTTGGGGTTTCAATACCTACCACTGCTTCGCTTGTTTTATTTGCTGCCTTATTACATGCGGCTGCTTGCAAACTAACGTACCATTGTATGTGTGTGACCGCGGCGCAACACACACGTGCACATGTACATTCACAGCTGCGCTGATCGGGAGCCACTGGCGAGCTCCTGTGCCACCTGGAAAGCCAGCGGCTACTGTGCCCCCGTGTACTTCGCTAGAGACCAGTCCATAGTTGACTACTGGTGCCGCAAGACGTGTGGAACATGCGTCGGGTCTCCATTGCCTCCACCGCCGCCGCCCCGGTCTCCACCACCTTCGCCGTTGCCGCCACCGCCCCGGTCGCCACCACCTTCGCCGCCGCCCCCTTCACCACCGCCGCCCCGGTCTCCACCGCCTTCGCCGCCGCCGCCTTCACCGCCACCGCCCCGGTCTCCACCGCCTTCGCCGCCATCCCCTCCAATATTCCCCCCGCCACCGACCCCAATGTAGGCAGCGACGGACGACTGAATCCGCAACAAAGCTTTGGTTGATGCATGCAGCTCACGCAGTAGGGACTGCTGACCTGCTCTGTTTACGTCAATGCAATGCCGGCCGCGCCATCAAATCCTGTGCGGAGTGTCTTTGTTTGTACTGAGGCAATTAATTCATGTGCTTCGAAGCATCACAAGCAAGGTTTTGTTGCGTTTGTGGTAGCTCTCATCTCTGTATTTGCGCCTGCAGCATGTGTGGGCTTATCATCATCTACAGTACATAGGTGCTATTTAATCAGCAGTTGGGGCTACTTGGGGTTTGAATGCCTACTACTGCTTCGTTTGTTTCACCGTACCTGCTGCCTTATTAAATGCGGCTGCTTGTAAACTCAACATACCGTTGCATGTGTGTGACCGCGACACAACAGACACGTGCGTATGAACATTCACAGCTGCACTGATCGGGAGCCATGATGTCAACAACAATATAACCCGCTAACGCTGTACGACACGACCCGGGCCCCGGCTAAAACACGCTCGCTTGTGTATGCCCGTTGTGTTAATGTGGTATAACTATTCATATCGCGGTCGCCAGGGTGCCGCTCCCACCACCGCCGGTGCCACCACCGCCACCACCGCTGTCGTAAGTGCTTCGTTAGAGCGCGTGGGCGGTTGGATGCTGGCCTTGCTCTGCAACTTTTCATGCACCCACACTCCGCACACAGCGTGCTTCTCGAGCGCTAGGACGAGCAAGCTGTATCGACTTATTTTGGCTACTAGCAATGATATTATGGTAGTGAGTAGCGGCTAATGGCCTGGTGGCCGCTCAACTAAGATACTGCTGCTGGGTGCATGCATGGATAACCCGCTAACCAGTGGGCAAGCATACTCGTATAAGTCCATCGGCATAATATTCCCATGTACATGGTTCTCCAGCACCTCCAGCAATAATGGTAATATTGCCGCTGGCTGCCTGCTGCCTGACTGTCCTGACGGGTGGGTGTGCCCGAATGCCATCTGCCTTCCTTGCTTCCGTCCGGTGCTTGTTGGTTGTGGTGCGAAATGATTAACAAGACCATCCCCGTCCTTGATGATCCGTGGCTGCCGGCTGTCCCAAGCATCTCAGATGCGTCGACCAGTTGTCGTACTGCGTGGAATGGAAACTCAGCGGCTATTGCAATCCCAAGTACTTCTCTGGCGGCTTGCCCGTCCGTGACTACTGGTGCCGCCTGACGTGTGGAGTCTGCACCGCGTACGTATGTTTCTGGATATGCATCTATTGCGTACGTATTACACCAGCTGCATGCATGCATGCTAACGTTAATCTCCAACCTTGCGGCCACCTTCCTAGCTTCCTCCATCCTGCCCGTTGCCTGCTTGCTGCGTGTTTCCGGACATGCATTTGTATGTGTGTGTTATAGGTAGCCATGTGGCCTTCATGTGCGCGCCTGCCTGCTGCTTTGTTTCCATTGAAAATTTGGCATGCATACGTTCGCTGATTCACATCGGCACGGAAGGCTCCGAAACCTGCTCATCCATAGCAGGCTTTCATCTTTCCTACTTGCTTCGCTGGTTTGTGTAGATTATGCTTCGTATAATCCCGCCCGCCCCCCACACGGCCGCGCCTTCTGGCCCGACGCCACCATGATGCTGTCGCGCAACAACAATATGAATCGCTGGCAACGTATATCATACCCGTGCCCTCGCTGTATCACGCTCGCGTGTGCGTGATATTTTATATCACGGACGGAACGAATCTCCGTCGATCGCCAGGTCATCGACTATACGACGGAGACCCCCGGCACCACCATCACCGTAAGTGCTTGGGTGGGCAGAGTGCGTGGGTGGCTGATGGCCAAGTTCCGAAACACTACATATAATCATGATAAAGAGCTTGGATTGCGGGGTATGTTAAGGGGCCAGGAGTGGAGAGGTTATGGGTATCCATGCTGGGCGGTGCACCTCCATGCTGGGCTGTGTAACTTTACATGTACCACCACGCACACGTATCCAGAGTGTTCCTTGAAAGCTAGGACAAACAAGCTATGTATGTCTGTCGTTGTAAGCCATAATGTTATGGTAGCAGCGAATGGCCTGGTGGCAGCTCAACTAAGATAATAATGGGTGCATGCATGGATAAGCCGCTAATCAGTTGACCAAGCGTGCTCGTATAAGTCCACCGGCATAGCCTTCAGCACCTCCAGCAATAATGGTAATATTGCCGCTGGCTGCCTGCTGCCTAACTGTCCTGACGGGTGGGTGTGACCGAATGCCATCTGCCTGCCTTGCTTCCGTCCGGTGCTTGCTAGTTGTGGTGCAAAATGATTAACAAGACCATCCCCGTTCTTAATGATCCGTGGCTGCCGTCTGTCCCATGCATCTCAGATGCGTCGACCAGTTGTCGTACTGCGCGGAATTGAAAAACAGCGGCTATTGCGATCCCGCGTACAACCCTGGCGGCTTGTCCGTCCGTGACTACTTGTGCCGCCCGACGTGTGGAGTCTGCACCGCGTACGTATGTTTCTGGATATGCATCTATTGCATGCGTCACATCAGCGGCATATATGCACGCTAACTTACAACCTTGCGGACACCTTTCCGGCTTCCTCCATCCTGCCTGTTGCCTGCTTGCTGCGTGTTTCCGGACATGCACTTGCACAAGTTTTTACACGTTCCTCAGGAATGGGGGTCCATGCTTCCTGCTTGGCTGGTGTATGCCGTATACTGGCAACATGATAAGAGGAAGACAGGCCTGCTTTTCATACCCGCTGAGGCTGAACCAAACGAACGCTGTTGTTGCTCCTTTGGTTGCTGCTGCTGCTGCAGGCCTCCTAATGCACCATTTCCACCGCCCCTTCCCGGAGATGCCCTAATCGGCGGTGAGCTAGCTAGGGACCGCTGCACTGCACAACTGATTGTATACGCTCGTCACAAGTTATACTCACGCACAGCGGCTCTTATTCCCAACAGCAGCGTTTTTGCCCGTGAATATTCCAGTCCGAATGGAGGAATAGGGTTTCTAGGGTTTTTAGGGTTTAAGACGCGGGAATAAAACTATTCCCAATCTGTAAGGCGCTGGGGAGGCTCCGGCCCCCCCAGAAACACCCCCCCATGCGTTACAGTTTAGTTCGTACAAATGCCGCTGTGGGAGCTTTGGGGCTGAATATTTTGCAGCGTTTGGTCCGGTCAGAAGCAGTCCTGTTCCTCGTTGACTCGCGGGTGTGACCTTCCGAACAGTATCATCCATGGGATTGAAGTGCTATGATGTGATTAACATGTATGTCTCCTGTATGATTCCAGCGGCTTTGGCATTGACAGCCCATTTTTGGCTGGAGGAATGAGCTTGTACGGTCGGAACACAATCTGGTCCTAGTTTTCAGGACCACGGAGAATGTTGCGCAAATAGAAATCGCTGCCCAACATGATGCTCATGCGTGCACGTGCATTTGTGTGGTGGGCGGGTGCATGTCCATCCATCTATCGGTATTTATGTACCCATCAGCACATGCATTCTTGCAGCTACATTCATAGCCGTGCAGCTGCTCAGATAGCCCGCCCCTAGTTCATCATTCAACAAACTCGGCTGGCAGCCGTATACACACATAGATACATACGCACATACACATGCATGTACGAATATGCGCATACAAACATGGTTGTTTTTGCACTCTGACTGCTGTACATAATGCCAAGGGCGACTTGCGGACGAACCGCCAATATATCAATATAATCAATTTCAATCATATGTCTTCACCACCCATTTAAAACTGGCTCTCCTGAAGACATAAAGGTCTGCAGCCACCACCAGCTACGCATGCGCCTGTCACCAGCTGAATGAATGGGAATGTTACATACGGTGTATCCCGGACCCGACCGGACCACCTGTGCTGCCCCCGCGAACCGCACGGCGGTAATACATGTCTTTTTTCGTTGTTGCTACGTACCTCCCCCACTGTTGTCGTCTGCTGTAATGTTGGCGTCGCCACTGCTGCCGCCGCTGCAGGCTGTGCCGACCCTGCCGCCGCCTTGCTGCTGCACAACCAGTACCGTGCACGGCACGGGTCGCCGGCCCTGGGCTGGGACAACACCCTCGCGCAGCAAGCAAAGGTAACTACGCACGCACAAGTATGTGTGTAGTGTTTGTGGACCAAGTTACAAAAAAAGGGACCTGAAGAGGGGGCCCCGAGGTGGGGGTCTCCCGGTCGGTTAGGGGCGGTGGGGTTTGGTAATGGCCCGCGGGGAGAGGCGGACCCCTGTCATGCAAGAGTCCTAGCTGCCACCTGCCGGCACGTGAGCCAGGCGTGTTTTGGGAGCAGTACGAAGAGACAACAATGAATGAGCGTGTTTACCAGCTAGATTGAGAATCCGTGTTTGTGTCCACGGATTCTTGCTGTAGCAATAGGATGAATACACTTGCAAGATAGACAGATGCATGGGAGGAACCCAGTAATGGGAACTGTATCGTGACAGCATCGCACGCAGCTCCACATCGTACGCACGTATGCCGCTGCGGCCGTTTGCGGTTCACAGCGTGTGTCGTCCCGTTCGTCACCTGCCCTCCTCCTGCGGCACGGCCTGCACCACGTATCCTCCCCATGCACCCGTTCGAACGCAGAACTGGGCCGCCAACCTGGCGCTAAAAAGCAGCTGCCGTTTGTACTATGAAGGAGTTAGCAATGAGAATTTGTACGTGACGTCGACCTCAAGCCAGACATCGCCCCTCAATTGCAGTATGGCAGTGAAAGAATGGTACGACCAAATTTTGCTGTACAAGTTCACAAGCACACCGTACACCGACAACAAAAATCAATCCTCGAGAATTGGGGACTTCATTCAAGTCGTGTGGGCTTCGGCGGTGCAAGTTGGCTGTGGTGCAGCGCGGGGCACGAACTGTTATGTGGTTAGTTGCCGGTATGCACCTCTGGTAAAAATTCTTGGAGATATCTCCCTTCTGGCGAACGTCTTTCCCCCCGTCACCACCCGCCGATCACTTGAGGGGTATGTGGCCGCTGTTGACGACGTGCTGCCAACCAGCGGTGACAGGGATGGAGGGGTGGTCATTACGTCCGTCGCTTAATAACAAACACGGAATGCAAACCCACGGTAACACATGCACATGCCCCACCACTACTTCATCCACCTAAATGCACGCCAGCCAGGCATTCTGTTCCATCTGATTGATAGGTGTCCCGCTTAGATACACACGTTCTTTGGTGCAGATCGAGTTTTCGCATTTCCTGGTTGATTTGGTTTCCGGACGTGTTTGCAAAAGCCGAATTCCAGCGAATTTATGTATTACGCCAGCCACATGCCACATTCATGTATTATGCCAGCCACATGCATGGTATGTAGTTCCACAGTTTGCCTTTTGTCTCCGGCATCATATGTATTGTGCTGTGCATGCCATTGATATTGGAGTGCAGCGACACGGGTACCTACCGGTGGGATGGGGTGAGAGGCGGCCAACTCATCATCTCGGTCGTGGACGGCAGAATGCGTTGCGTGCAGCCACCAGGGGAAATAGGAGGACAGTCTAGGAACGGTATACAAGTTACAAGTTACAAGTTCCGCACACAAGTGCGGGTGTGTCCGTAAAAGCCGGGGGGCCCATGGACGTTGTATTGGTATTGATGCGGGTACGCGGGAGGTCATCTTCATTCTCCCTCGTCCGCTTCAGGGCGAAGCGCCTCAGCGCGACGTGCCTGGCCTCCCAGATTTCCGAGAGGTACCTGGCCAATGCCAGGGGTGGCGCCTCAGTCATAGTGGTGCTAATGATATAATATAATATAATGGTATAACTAATAACTAGGGATTGATCTAGGGGCTATGACGACCCAGGTGCTGGTTGCCCAGCTCGCTAGTGTGGGGAAGGGTAAGCCCGGGACCGAAGACGCCCTCATAGGCGCGGGTGATCTTGCAGTGGTAGTGTGCATGACGGAGTGGTGATCTGGTGAGGTGCGGTCATGGGCGAGCTATAGCCCCGCCAGACCCCTTGACACCTTGCCCCGCCTGCCTGACTCGGATAAGGGCCCCCTCGGACTGAAACACCCCCCTGGTGCGGCCGCGGGCTGACTGAGTGGGGTCTGACACAACTTTGCGTGGCTTGGGGTTCGCCAGGTAGTTCGTTGAGAAGGGGCGTAGTGTGGTCAGTTTTAAATGTAGGGTTCAGCTTTCGGGCGTTATGCGCCGGTAAGGCAGGCCCCCACGGGGAGGGGCGCCCGGGTGTTGCAAGGACCCGGGGTGCACAGCGGCGCCTGCATAAGGCGCAGGCTGCATTTATGGAACTCTGCCGCGACGCGTACTGAGGTTGTTTGTTTAATGGCCTTGGTAGCCACCGCGCTCTCCTTCATCTTGACAAAAGGGGGAGACACGGGGCTGCACGCCCTCGGTCGAGCAGGAGGGGATAGTGGCCCCTCACGCCCCTCTCCCCCCACAAGGAGGAAAGCGCTTCAGCGGCCATTCCCGTTGGGGTACGGTTGTACCTAATTAGGTTCCCCTGGCCAGTGTCAGGCCCGGATCGATATGTAACAAAAGCAGACATACGTACACACAGACACACGGACACATGTATGCACGTGCGCATGCACCCATGCATGCATCCACACATGCATGAGTGTGTGCACACACGGTGATTTCCTGATGCTAACACTGCAAGAGGGGATATCCCTCTCATCTCTTCATAGTACTATCTGGTACTACCGTAGTGACAGGAAATGTTCGTGATTTTATTGTTCGAGACACCCTCAAAATTACACCCGAAATTATTGGTGAAACTGTTGAATTCGTGAGAAGCCAACGCAACCGAAGCAACGGTGCCTGCAATATTCGTTAATGGGTCCGACTCAGAACGCCGATTGACGCAAAAGCTGGCCAATGCATGCACGGTTATTTAGGAGCTCTATCCGTAGCTGGGGCGCCGCGAGCAAGTGTGAAGAGTCCGCATTGAAGGAGGCTTTGTTGCTTAGGCCGCTTGGCCCTCGGATCCATGTCCGTTCAATTACTATGGATGTATATATGGCCAGGAAAGTGGAATTCTACGAGTAATTACTGTGTTGAAGGCATTATACGATTTGGCTTCGGAGCACACATGTATTCGTGACGACCATCGCCTGGAACAGCTTGTAATTTATATGTGACATAATTTCGTGATGCCGTCACGAAATTAAAATCACGAACATTTCCTGTCACTACGGTATCATGCGTGGTCATTTATGGTTGTGAATGCCTACAATGTATTGCTAGCTTGTCCGACCTTCAGATGCAACTGAAAACGTTACATATTTTTATGTAATTCTACATATTTTATTTTTACACTTTTTACACTCGTCCCTCCCCAAACTCTTAGCTACTCTCTGCTACTCCGTCCTTGATCCCTCTCGTCTAATATTGCTTCTACCTCTTAGCATGAATTGCATTTAACATATCAAGGACTCTGACGCTCTCATCAACCTGGCTTGTTCTTTGCCCGTTCTCGGAAGTCATGTCGCCTTTGCCATTCTAGGCGTTGTCGAATCTCTGCGTCTTCCGCTCCTCAAACCGCTTCCGAAGCCCTTTTTCCATACATACAATATATCTACTCAGAGTTTCAATGATATTCCTCATACTGGCCTTCTTCACTTTCCATCAGAAAGTGTGAATTCCTGCCACATACGTGCTCGTCCGTAACCGTTGCTTGCAAGCTGTCATGGCTTATCCACCATGTTTCAGGAGGGCGCGCCAACAACAAGGCAACATCGTCACTCATATAGCATTACGATAACAATAGCCAATTATACCGCTGGAAGCGATGTGCTTGCCTTGATAAGCAAGCCCGACGGTTCTTGGGAAGCTTGGCAAGGCAACAGCAGCATGCTGCGTCCCGATGCGTATAAACCGTTGCTTATTGCGGCCAGATATTGCCTTGCTACAGGGGGATGAGCTGCGCGCTCCACTAACTCCATTAAATAGCTCCGCAACTCCACTGCCGCTGCCTCTGGTCCATTATGTCGGCGTAGGAAGCTGCTTGGCTGCCTGAGAGAGGGCAGGCACTCCTTATGCCAGCTTTCACCCGTTATGGATTCATGCATTGCACATGATAGCGCTATACTATATGCTACGTCATTTGAAGGTTATAATCCAGCACAGGAAATGATGTGAAACAAGCTACGATTGTGCTGACAACAAGTTTTTAACTCCGCTGTAAAAAGATTAATTTTGTGCAAGGTGCGTGGAGCTCGGCGGCTTAACTGGGAGAGTTACGAAAGGGTGTGAGATGGCGGATACTAGTGTGAATGGCAGGCTCGTTGGCCACAGAAGTGCGTCACATGTTGGATCAGACCCTGGAACGGTGAATATCTAACGGAAGTGTCATTGCACCGCAACAGTTACCAGCACTCATCAGCTACCAGAGCTTTGGAATCATGCGTAAAGGAAAGGGTCTGCTGAAAAGTTTGGCAACCGTTCGTATCGAATGTATTTGACGAAGTACTCTGACAGTTTGGAAGAGAAAAGTAAAAAAGATAAACCTGGTGTATTTGGTAACAAAGCAAATGTTGCTTTTCGGTGCGTGTCCAGCTAGTGTCATCGGCAACTGGAGGAACCTCTGTCCTCCAGTCCTCCTAACGGACGCCCTAGCGCCATACATGATTTAGATGCAGTTTTACAGGTACTTCACCTGCATAAAAATATTTTCATATGAGTGTTTTTTGCATGGCCGTGCTTCCGAAACGAAGCCGCAAGAAGTGTGATCCGAAGCACATCGGAACATCACTCAAGCACGGGCAATGTTCGCAATATGGGGATCACATCCAGCATTATCGCTTATCTCTATTTTTAGAATCTATATTTCCCACAGGTTCTACTAGTCCATCCTGTACCCATGTATAGGATCGCTTGCGCCACTAAACTTGTTTTGCATGACCAAAACAAATTTCCAATAAGATAAGGAATAAATTTCCTGAATTGCAGCCTAACTGGGCCCCCAAGCGGATGGCGTCTGCGGCCCGACAGAACAGAACGGCGCTGTTCGCCTCATTGCAAGAGATCGTTCAAGCATAAGGACGTTCTACTGCGCTAAGACAGCGCCTGGGGAATATGATGGCGCGCGCTGAGATTGACACCAAGCTCCGCGCAATGTCCGTTTAGAAGGTCCTTCGGCGGGTGCTGGATGTGGACGACAGCCCAATTGAGCAAATGAAACAACCTGGACGGAAAAACGCAGCACCACTACTGCGGATATTATAAATCCGCACACATCACCACCACCTCCCCCGCCGATACCAGCTACCGGTACTACACCATGACTGACTTACGCACCATGTGCCAGAACAGAAGCTTGCTCAGGTGCCGCAAATCATCGGCGATACTCGCATCTCAGCTCGCCCAGGAGTCCAAACCGCGCATCTCATCAACGCCAAACGGTTCACTTGTTCTGTACACTGGCGCCTGGGATGGCGTCCGGAAGTGTTGGAGTGGCGGCATGGGGGATGAAGAGCACCAGTGGTGGCAGCAGCGGCAGTGGCAGCGGCCATGGCCAGGGCGGCAGTGATGGCAGCGGCGGTAGCTGCGGCAGGAGCCAGCAGGTGATGGTTCGCGGAACTGGGCGGATGGAACGCGAAGATGGCCGACACCCAGAGAGGTACGAGCCAGGACGCTAACTTTGACTGTGCATTGAACACAAAAAATGAACATGAGATGTTGGAAAAGTGACCGACATTCATATACCACAGGATGGAAACAGCCGTAATAGGACACGGCGGGATCTGGCGCTTTGCTGGTCTTAATAAATTATGACCCCCGATGGCACATTGCGCTGTCGAAAGGTCGCCGGTTCTAGTTCCTCTGGCTGTAACCCAGAGAATGAGAGGCTGGGATGAGGTGTAAGGGAATGCCCGGAGCGAGTGAGTGTCGCTCACGAGGGGTTGTTGGAACATCAGAGTCATTCAAAGGTTAGAAAAATTGCAACCAATTGGATGTGGGCTATAGCAGTAGTAAGCAGCATAGCATGACATTTCAGTGTTTGCGGGAACTCACGTGGTGGTGGGCGATAGCAGTCTCATACGCATTTCATAGCGCAGCAGGGTGCCAAACTGCCAAGTG